GTGTGAGGGTCTGCTCTTGGCTTACTCATTGGCTTCAGACCCACACCAGCACAACTAGGGATGCAACTGCTGCCTGTCGGTGAGCTGCACTTCAGCTGGTGCTGCTGTGCTGCCGGTGCTTGCCAAGTCTCTCCTTATCCACATTCCTGTGTTGGAACGTTAAAAATGAGCAGTGCTGACTGGCTAAACTCCAAAGCTATATACTAGTACAGCTGGGGCCCACCTTAGACCATTAGGAGTGATGAGCCACTTGAGCTGCACTTTGCAGGGTCTGCATTCCCCATGCTTCTGCTCATAGCCTGTGTTTGGCAGAAGCCTATTCCGGGAGTCTGTAACTTCTTTGGCAGCAGTGTTTCTTTTTTATTATGTGGGGCAGAATCCTGTTTGTCCGAGTGTTTCAGGTAAACTCTTGTGGAGGAAAGTGTTGGTTGGGCTCTCCCACAATACAGAAACGGCGCCAGGTCTCATTGTCAACTTGACCAATTTAACCAATTACGATAAAGGAACTATAAAGGAACATAGAAATTGGTTAAATTGGAGGGGTTCCTACAGACTAATACTGGAGTTCCAGCCCCAGCCATAGATATATTAATTGGCAAACAACCTGACACCCTAGTAACCATATGCACTCCAATCAGGCCATATGATTTAAAACCCATGTACAGCAGAACCCCTCTCTTCACACGTCTAGAAAAAAACAGGGACTGTTGAGAGCTTTTATATTCAGCTGCCTTTATTTTTATTAATTTTATTTTATTTTAGGTTCTGGGATACAGGTGCAGGATGTGCAGGTTTGTTACATAGGTAAACCAGTGCCATGGTGGTTTGCTGCACCTATCAACCCATCATCTAGGTATTAAGCCCCACATCCATTGGCTATTTATCCTGATGCTCTCCCTCCTCCTGCCATCACCCCAAGAAAGGCCCCAGTGTGTGTTGTTCCCCTCCCTGTGTCCACGTGTTCTCATTGTTCAGCTCCCACTTATAAGTGAGAACATGAGGTGTTTGGTTTTCTGTTCCTGTATTAGTTTGCTGAGGATAATGACTTTGAGCTCCAGGATACAAAACCAATCTGCAAAAATCACAAGCATTCCTATACACCAATGGCAGACAAGCAGAGAGTCAAATCATGAATGAACTCCCATTCACAATTGCTGCAAAGAGAATAAAATACCTAGGAATACAACTAACAAGGAAAGTGAAGGACCTCTTCAAGGAGAACTAAAAACCACTGCTCAATGAAACCAGAGAGGACACAAACAAATGGAAAAACATTCCATGCTCATGGATAGGAAGAATCAATATTGTGAAAATGGCCCAAAGACCCAAAGTAATTTATAGATTTAATGCTATTCCCATCAAGCTACCATTGACTTTCTTCACAGAACTAGAAAAAAACTACTTTAAAATTAATGTGGAACCAAAAAAGAGCCCATATAGCCAAGACAATCCTAAGCAAAAAGAACAAAGCTGGAGGCATTACATTACCCTACTTCAAACTATACTACCAGTTTACAGTAACCAAAACAGCAAGGTACTGGTACAAAAACAGACACAGACCAATGGAATAGAATAGAGATCTCAGAAATAAGACTGCACATCTATAGCCATCTGATCTTTGACAAACCTGACAAAAACAAGTAATGGGGAAAGGATTCCTTATTTAGTAAGTGTTGCTGGGAGGAGAACTGGCTAGCTATATGCAGAAAATTGAAACTGAACCCCTTCCTCACATCTTACACAAAAATTAACTCAAGATGGATTAAAGACTTAAATGCAAAACCCAAAAGTAAAAAACAAACAAACAAACAACAACAACAAAAAAACCCTAGAAGAAAATCCAGGCAATACCATTCATAACATAGGCATAGGCAAAGATTTCATGACAAAAATGTCAAAAGCAATTACAACAAAAGCAAAAGTTGACAAATGGGATCTAATTAAACTAAAGAGCTTCTGCACAGCAAAAGGAACTATCATTAGAGCAAACAGGCAACCTACAGAGTGGGAGAAAATTTTTGCAATCTCTCTATCTGACAAAGGTCTAATATCCAGAATCTTCAAGGAACTTAAACAAATTTATAAGAAAAAAAAATGAACAACCCCATTAAAAAGTGGGCAAATGCCATTAACAAACACTTCTCAAAAGAAGACATTTATGTGGCCAAGAAACATGTGAAAACAGCTCAACATCACTGATCATTACAGAAATGCACATTAAAACCACAATGAGATATGATCTCACACCTGTCAGAATGGTGATTATTAAAAAGTCAAGAAAGAACAGATGCCGGCAAGCCTATGGAGAAATAGGAGTGCTTTTACACTGTTGGTGAGAATGTAAATTAGTTCCACCATTGTGGAAGACATTGTAGTGATTCATTAAAGACCTAGAACCAGAAATAGCATTTGACACAGCAATCTCATTACTGGGTATGTACCTAAAAGGATATAAATCATCCTGTTATAAAGATACATGCATATGTATGTTCATTGCAGCACTATTCACAATAACAGAGACATGGAATCAACCCAAATGCCCATCAATGACAGACTGGACAGAGAAAATGTGGTACATATACACCATGGAATACTATGCTACCGTAAAAAGGAACAAGATCCTGTCCTTTGTAGGGACATTTAGCTGCCTTTAATTGAGACTTTGATTGTACCGTTCAGATTCTGGCACTTTGGTCCAATTATAGCAGAATCCTAGATGCCAGCATCTTTGCTAGCTGTGCACCCACAAAGCCTTTGACTTAAAAGACAAGCAAATCAAGCTCCCAGGACCCAACATTGTATTCAAATTCTATGAATGACTCAGCCTCATTATAACACCATAGAGCCACAAAAATATGACCCACATCAATCCTAGTGGGTATCCATGTGGGAAGGATACCCTAGTCCCACACTGCCCTAGCTCAAGACCACGCCATTAAAGATGGCATGCCCCCTGCCTCCCAACCAACTATGGGCAGTGCCAACCACACTGGCACATGGAATGTCTTGCCATTCATAGGAGACCAGAGGCTCTTGGTTTTCCAGTAGCTAGTTACACTGCTGGCTTCTGTTTTAAAAAGCGAGACCCACAAAACTGGAAGGACTTTTCAGACTTTACAGACACCTATAAAACTGTAAGTTCTGCTCCCTTTGATTGTAATTCCACTCTATACCAGGCTAAGCCCTCATGAGACCAAGTCCAGTGCCTCCTTAATGCTTCCAAGATTCAAGTTCCTGCTAAGCCCACCCACTTCTCCTGCCTAAAGGGTAATCTAACTGAAGTATCCACCCTGTGTGCTCTCCTAGGAGTAAAAGGAGCATCTGCTGGTCTCCCACTGCCAAACCATTCACTCCCTTCCATCGTCTTTCCCTTCCCGTTCTCATTGTCAGTATCCCTACTCCCACCCCCATCTCTTCTGTCCTAACAGCATCTTCTCCTCTTGCCCTCTAAAAGACTACATGAGTAAAATTCAAATCCACTGCCCCAGTTTCTCTGATATTTATACAGGCATCCAAAATACACACACATTTGACTGAAGTAGACTCTTCTGCAGTGACTATCCGTAACTCATCAGCCTGCTTCCACATATCCTACACCACACATTTACCCAACTGATAATTGCTCCAGAGATGAAAAATATTGAGAAATTAAAACCACTTCCAAACGGCCTCTTCTCCTGTATCGGGGTGCCCCCTCATGGCAAGTGGCAACTGCACTTGTGTTTTGTCAATACGTACCACAGGTGGGCTACCCAATGAACAACTGCATGCTCTCACCATATGCCCAACAAAAGCCACTGTCTTCCTCCAGTCCCATTCTTTAGTAATTTCCCTTTACCTAAATCAAGGTACAGTTTTCCAGTCTAAAGATAATGCCACAAAACTATATTGTGTCCCAACCAACAAAGGTGCTTATCCCCTCTACTTTGCCCTTCCATTACCCTGAAACTGGAAGCCATGAGATGCATTCTGGCCTCTCTTGGCATTCCTATTTATGTAAATGTTAATTATTCTTTCCCCATCCAGCCAAACGTCATTGATGTGCCACATTCGTACCTATAATACTGGGACTCACCCTTGCTCTAGGACTCACTGCGATGGCCACAAGGACCATTGCTTTAGTCCGAGAGTCAAAAATAATTGATGCTACCCTACAAATGTCCAAAACTCTAGTATATCATATTTCTAAATTACAGCAAATATTAGTCCTGCTAGACTGGGGAGCTTCGGCAAAAATGTTTTTTGACAGTAAATTTGTCCTTGATTATATATTAACTAGTCAAAGAGGTGCTTGTAACATTATTAGAGCTTCTTGTTGTAGATGGGTTAACACCACCAATCAAGAGGTCACTAACAGAAAGCCTGGATCACAAAAACCATCACCCTAAAGAAAACATGCCTTACATGTTTAACGCACTCTGAAATTCAGTCAAAATATGACTAAAGGCCCTTGCCAAGACTGATGTATTCTCCTGGCCAACACCAAACAAATGGGAGCCTGGTTACAAGTCAGCCTTCCGGGACTTGTCACATTTCTACTTGGTTTCTTCCTTGTTACTGTCATAATAAAATGTTTTCCATGCTGTTTAGTGCAATTTAGGCCCTATTCTGTAGAAGTCTCCTCTACTGTTCAGGCCACTCAAATACCCCAAATAATTGAGTTCAAAATCAACATCAAGATAGAAAGGAATCAGTGACTAAATATATTTCATATATGGTATTTTTATTGATTATGGTGCTGTCTTGACCTAGTTTTGAGGCCTCGGCTAGAGGCTGGTCAGTTTCCTTTCTTGAGCAGCCGATTAAATCCACACCCCAACCACTTCCCTTATCAGGTTCTCACACTCCGGGGCCACTATGTACCCACTCTAATCACCACAGGGCCAGACATCAGACACTTAAGGACACAGCCCATGCACCAAAGCCCGCCAAAATTGTGCAAATTTTCAAAATTATTCAACCTAGCTAACCCCACCCTTTTTGCTATACATAAGCTGCCCTTTCCCCCTCCAGCTTGTGGTATCCAGTCCTCAGGTGCAACCCCCTGCGTGGTCCTCTGTGGCAGCCTTCTCTCATTCGGAAGTGTAAGTAACAAAGTTGAAGTGTTTTGTCTGACTGCTAAAGAATCTTTAAATCTTATAAAATACAGTCCTACCTACATCTTAATTACTATTCAATGAATGAAAGCTGCAAAGTTTTAAAAACCCTTACAGTTTTTCTAAACCTTCTATATTTGTCAAGCAGATCTCTGGAAATCTGGAAATATGAAAAGGATGATATAATATTCTGGCCTCTCTTATTTTTTTTTTTTGAGACAGAGTCTCATTCGGCCGCCTATACTAGAGTGCAGTGGCACTATCTCTGCTAACTACAACCTCTGCTTCCTGGGTTCAAGTGATTCTCCTGCCTCAGCCTCCCAAGTAGCTGGGATTACAGGCGTGTGCCACCACACCTGGCTAATTATTGTATTTTTAGTAGAGAGGGGGTTTCACTATGTTTGCAAGGCTGGTCTTGAACTCCTGACCTCAGGTGATCTGCCCTCCTCGGCCTCCCATAGGGCTGGGATTACAGGCATGAGCCACTGCGCCCGGCCAATATAAATTACCATTTAAACTTATTCCATGACTAATCTTCAATTTGAGGTTAATTCCCCTAAACAATTAATGCAATTGATAGATTTGGTTAATTAAGTTCTTTTAAATATCATATATTATATCAATTACAAATTCAGTCTACCTGAATCTCGCAAACATTTCAAATGCCTGACACATTAGTATCTTTTATACATCTTGCAAGTTTAAAAAAGGAGGGAGGGGGTTCTAATAATTAAAGCAATTCCAGTAAAAGTAATAATTCAAATGTATGCAGTAGTAAGTTATGTTCTCTTAAACATTCAAACACTGCATATAGACTGAAGAAAATGCTCTTGTACTTTAAAATTGAAATTATACGGTTCATATAACTGATTTTCTAATATATCAGGTTCTATCAAATGCTTCAAACAACTTAACAATCTATCATAGGTTATCCCAATGATTAAATAATTAAATTTCTAAAGTTAATACAAATATGTTAATATTGTGGATTTGACTAACTTCAACATTCTTATAGTTATTTCTTTCTTCTCCCAGTATTTTAAAGCCACTTATGCAAATAAAGAGAATAGATAGATGTATGATCTGACTGGGCCAAGGATACTGTATCAGAGAATCAAGTCCAGGGTTGAAGTGTCAGTTAAAGAATTTGAGAGAGGGGCAGGGACCTAATTAGGTACCACACATGCTCAGGGACCACACAACACAAAAGTCAATCTGCTGGACATCTCCTTGAGGTAACAGAGCTTTCCAAACTCACACCAGTTCATGCAGTCCGGTATATCATGTGTACCCTTACCTAGTTTTATTTATTTATTTATTTATTTATTTATTTATTTATTTATTTATTTTTGAGACAGTGTCTCACTCTGTAGCCAGGCTGGAGTGCAGTGGCGCGATCTCGGCTCACTGCAACCTCTGCCTCCCAGGTTCAAGCGATTCTCTTGCCTCAGTCTCCCGAGTAGCTGGGACTACAGGTGTGTGCCACCACACTCGGCTAGTTTTTGTATTTTTAGTAGAGACAGGGTTTCACCATGTTGGCCAGGATGGTCTCGATCTCTTGACCTCTGATGATCTATCTGCCCGCCTCAGCCTCCCAAAGTGCTGGGATTACAGGCGTCAGCCACCACGCCCAGCCCCCTTACCCAATTTTTAAAGTTACCTCTTTTACAACTTTTTTGTTTTTTTGAGACAGAATCTCACTGTTACCCAGGCTGGAGTGTAGTGGCATGATCTCTGCTCACTACAACCTTTGCCTTCCGGTTCAAGCAATTCTTGTGTCCCAGCCTCCCAAGTAGCTGGGATTACAAGTATGCCCAAGTAGCTGGGATTACAAGTATGCATCACCATGCCCGGCCAATTTTTGTATTTTTAGTAGAGAAGGGGTTTCACCATGTTGGCCAGGCTGGTCCAGAACTCCTGACCTCAAGCAGTCTGCCAGCCTGGACCTTCCAAAGTACTGGGATTAAAGGCATGAGCCACCATGCCTGGCTTCTTTTATAGCTTATAATTGTGTAATTTGATAGGTGAAATTCCCTCTACAGGATATTATTTACTACTCGACTGAATTTAATGTCTTTATTGCCTGATTGGAGTCAACTTGCTTTTTACATGTTTTATATCCAGTTCAATATCAATAATCCTATTATCATTTTATTGACTATTCCCTACGTGATTAACACTATCTACTGAATACTGTATCTTAGAATATTACCTACATTTGCATCAAGCTCATGATCTATAACTCACCTACATCCACCGTTCTAGTTTTGAAATTTGGGATAACACGTGCCAGGATATAGTTGTTCTGCCTGAGTCTTCGCTGCACCTCGAGTTATTCTGAGTTTCATCCATCTTATCTGAACATCTTCTGTGCTCTGGATTTTATTCCTCTCCAAGAGACACAAACTCATTTAGAGCATGTAGATCTTCCCTTGGGATGTTTCTATGTATTTTATTCCTTGTTTCTATCATGCCAACATTTGTTCGAAGGTTTCTATTTGTTCTAATTTTTTTTTTCAAAAGAAAAGGAAAAAACCAGGACTTTTATGGCACCACTGGTCAGTGTAGGGCAGGTGGGTGGGACACAGCATTAGATGTGCTAGTTGGGCAGAACTGTGCTGTTACTTTTCTGAAAGGGGTAAAAAAATACATAAAATAAAACAGTGCAATGCCAGGACAGGCCAGCATGAGATAGGTGAGTTATTCCCTCCGTAGCCTTCCTTCCAGGTTGTTTTATGTGTCTTTCCTTAATGTGTCCTTACTGTCTAATTAGGTTTCTCTCATTGCCCTTATCTTAATGTTTTACAATTATCTAAGGTGGAATAACACAGTGGAGAGAAGCAAAAACTGTTGGAGTGAGATAGACTTAGGCAGAGGTGGCAATATTATAAAAATAATGATGCTTAAGCTGCAAGACCATTCATTGGCTTGATTTACTTCCAAGATCCCAGAAGGGCACAAGAAATGTTTTATATAAAATTTGCAAAAGATATTTAACCACAATCAGTCAACCCCATTATCATTTTACTACAACTGTCCGGCATCATATTTCCTGTATCAGGTGTTGTTGGAGAGGCTGCGGGCATTTTTGAGACCGAAAGGGAGGATGTTGAATTGAGAATAATTTTAGTTTGGCTTTAGTGGGACATATTTATGTGGGTATCAGTCATTTCTGTATATTGATAGTTTATTGCTAGCCATTCAGGGTAGCACCCACTATGCCAAAACAAATAATGCAGGTCCAGAAGTCACATCGAAAAGTGAAAGTGTGCTTCTTAATGGCTCCCAGGTTCAGAAATTTGTAGGTTATTGAAGAGAAACAGATGGTGAAATGCACAGAGGCAGAGCAAATCCAGGGAAAAAAATTTCAACCATCCAATGTGTAAAACTGTAAGCAGAGAATTCCTTTTTAGAATTTGACCAGAAAACCTAGTTAAGACAGGTTCTCTCAGGAATGTATCTGATAATGTCTTATGTACAATTAAAACCACATAATACGTTACAAAAGTTTTTTGATGAAAATAGTGCAAAATTAAAGAATCCTGTGTATTAAGACACAAACCTATAGCAGTACTTCAAATGTGTGTGAAGTTTTATGAATCCCAATATTAATAAGAACAAACACAAATTTTAATCAACCATGCTTGAAATAAGACTGAAATATCTTTCTATTCTCTCTACAGAAAATAATATAAAATTTTTGTCATATGAAGAGATAATTCGGAATCATGAAATTTAAATATAGATAAAAACTATTAGAGAATTGTGTCTGGCAGTGGCTGAATATAAAATTTTTTTTATTTTGTGATATTTTTGATATTTAACTTTGTAAAATATTTGATTTATTATAAATCATTTTCTTGTTCTATATAGATATTCACTTTAGTCACTAATTTTTATTATTAATTTTGTATTCTTTTTGTGGTGAAATTAAATTTACTACTTTAAACATTTTAAGGTATACAGGTCCGTGGCAGTAAGTACATTGACATTGCTGTGCAACCCCCATCGCGCTTCATCTTCATAACTTTCTCATCTTTCCAAACTGAAACTCCATATTCATTAAACAATAACACGCCACTCCTTCCTCCCCCGAGCTCTGGCAACAATTATTCTATTTTCTAACTCTATAAATTTGACTATTCTAGGTATCACATATAAGTGGAATTACACAGTATTTGTCCTTTTCTATCTGGCTTATTTCACTTAGCATAGTATCTTCAATCTTCATCCATATTGTAGCATGTATCATTTCTTTTTAAGGCTGAATAATATTTCCATGTATGAACAGTAGTACCCCTTATCTGCGAGGATACGTTACAATACCTGAAACCATGGATAGTACCGAATCCTATAAACACTATGTTTTTTTCCTTATATAAACACACCTATGACAAAGTTTAAATTTTAAATTAGGAATAGGAAGAGATTAACAACAATAACTAATAATAAAATAGAACAACTATCACAATATTTCATAATAAAAGTTATGTGAATATAGTCTCTTGCTCTCAAAATATCACATTGTACTGTACTCACTCTTCTTGTGATGGGAGATGTTGCAATGCCTCTGTGATGAGATGACATGAAGTGAATGATGTAAGCATTGTGATGTAGCCATAGCCTTTTAACCTTCTGTGTTCCTGAATCGGTGTAACCAGCCCTTACTTGTAGTAAGCGGCTTGGTGTCACTCATTTCTTGCTTGCTGAAGTCTTCGCAGATGCTCAGTGCTTTCTCTTGCAACAAGTTGTTATCAGAACATGTTTTCTAATTATGTCTTCCACCCACACATTTAATGCCTTTTCCATCTTAACTAAACACCCAGCATGTACCGTAGCTGTAACTTTTACAGTTTCAGTTGCAACAGCAACACTAGCACGAATTTCTTTTTCCTCCTTCACAATTGCCTGGATAGAAGATTTGATTTTACCATAGATCTTAGCAACCTCAGTATATGACTTTTTTCCTTCCCTTATTAAGTCAAGAG